ATACTCTTGTTGTATCATCTTGTCCAGAATACAACTTCTTAGCATGTTCCCATATATCCTTAGCCGTATCAAGAAATATGAAGTTGGCACTAACTCGAACCAGGAAGAGAACCAAGAAGAGAAGGAAGAAGAAGAGGAAGAAGAAGAAAGAAAATAAGGGTCTGTCGAAATCTGATGGACTACCCATWCAGTCRAYCCCCTTAATCTTWATTAGATTCTAATAACCTTTACAAAGACTAAATTGCCCATACTTAAGTGTGGGGCAGAGTACTCTAATAAAATTGCCACATAAGCAAACTACTTGGCACACATAAGATGACTAAACTACCCCTATTCGGCTCACTTTAACAATATGTATCTACGAGGTTAGTAATAAATGCACTTCAAAATATGGATTTGTAAGTTGAGTAATCTGACCTCAATTATAATAGGTTTGCCATCTTTCATTGCCTTCTTCAAATCACCTGCCAAACCTAGAAAGAATGCAAGAATGCAACCATGTCATGAAGAATCCTAACACAAAAGAAAAAAAGATACCAGCAAATGGTAAACCACTTTACAAAGTTGGAGAATCCTTGAGGAATTTAACAGCAACCACAATGACAAAATTAAACAACCACAAAGAATAACTGGTAGAATACCTTTACGAACAACTCTGCATTCTCTACAAAATTCAGTGATCAGTTCCTTAGAAGAACTAAAATCTTGTGCCCAAACAGGAACAGATGCCAATGGAGCACTGCATGGTTATGTGATGTTACATGGTTCAGAAAAAGAAAAGTAGCAAGAGGTTGAGAATAGGCATAATAAGTAAGGTGTGGAGTATTCCTCTTGCTAAGATGCATATCTAAATGAGAAAATTAGGTGACAATAAGGAATATCACTTCAATGATCAAAATGTGACAATGATACATGGACCAACAAAATAATATGGTATGCCCCACAGAATGAGAAAAGTTTCAGCCACCCACAGATTAACTAGAAATATATGTTTCAAGCAAATATATAAATCAATTTCTGCCAGTTCAATTGGATCAAAGTTGCCAAAGGAAAGAAAGAAGAGTAAAGGATAGAAAAGAAATGAAAAGCTACTGGTTTTTCAAGTACTATGTCTCCTTGGATGCATTTTTGACCCAGGGATGATGAAATAACCATATGCATATTAACCAAATATCTAAGAGAAAAATCCAACCAACTCATAAAAAAAAAAAAAAGCATAAGAATAGAAACCAAGGAATCCAAGGTGCCAAAATGGCCCCATTGGTGCTTTAAGTGGCTCTTTTGCCAATGGCAACAATTGCATACTGTGCTTACATATCTGTGTTTGTATAATAGGATTACAAAATATCACATTGAGGCAAAGAGTGCAAGAGAAGATTGTAGATATAGTAATAATTTCTTTTTATTGGTTTATAGATAAAGTAACAATAGTGCCAAAGAGTGCAAGAGAAGATTGTTTCAGTCATGACAGCATGCATAAGTCTATATCTTGTTTCAAACTGTGTTATCATCACAACCTCAACCCATGTCCTCAGCCAGCATGCCAGCCTGCCCGTCATCATTTTAGAGCCTTGAACCAGTGCCACCATTGAGTAAGCACTTTCTGTCTCCACCCTACATGATCAAACTCATTACAATCCCCCATAATGCATTATTCCAAAGTTCCCTTGGTTGTATTTATTGAGTTTTGGGCTGATATAACATGTTTTTTATTTACATAGCATAATTAGGGAGTTATTGGGCCTTAGGCCCATTAGTTTATGTTTCAAGTTAAGAGTGTTTTTAAATTCTCACAAATAGTCAACTTACTAAGGGCATATTTGTCTTTGTACTCTCTTTTATTTATGAGTATATATATAATCTAATGAAAGGGGCAGCCAGACCTAATTCTGAGCTTCTCCCATTCTCTTCTATCTCTCTTTCTCAGCTGAAACCTTTTCTTCTTTCTTTTACAGTTTTTATATCAAAACAGGTTGTCCAAACTTTTCTACTGTATTCTTATCTGATTAATCCCCTTCATAACACCGCCACTCAATCATGTAAACACCTTCTTTTAAGCATTTTTCCATGTCATTCCATGATTCTTTTTCCCCCTAATGGTGCCAACATATTGCACCATCAATGATGGCTTATCTTTCTTGAATTTTACAAAATTCTTATTTCCCTTCAGTTTGATGCATACGAGTTGGAAAAGCAGCACAGATGTGATTCAAACCAATAAAAAACAGTAGAATAATTTAGATTATAGCAAAAGAACTAGAGAAGAAGAAGAATACAGCAAGAAGAAGGAAGAATGGAGAAGAAAGGAGAAAGGAGAATGAGTTTGATAATCTCCTGTTCTCCCCCACTCTAATCTTTTATTAATCTTACTTAAGTTACAAAATTTACAAGTCTGCCCTTAAGTGGGCGTCCACCTCATCAGCATACTTAGAAAACATAAACAAGAATTAAAGGCCCATTAAGAACAAATAACAAATAACACTAATGGGCTAGGGCCCATTCGGCCTAGTCTCTCTACACTCCCCCTCAAGCTGAGCATAGATATCAATCATGCCCAGCTTGCTTATATAGTGAACCAGCTTTCCTTTAGGAACACCTTTTGTTAGAACATCAGCCAACTGTTCTTCAAAAGCAATAAATGGTAGACAGATTTCTCTTGAAGCAACTCTCTCTTGTACATAGTTGTCAAGTTGACACCTAGGCGGGCGCCTAGGCGACAAGGCACCCTTTGAGGGTCGCCTCGCCTAATCGCCAAGCAGTTTTGTACTATGTATTGTAAAATACTTTTTTATTCTTTATTTTTTGATATTATAATTATAAAATAGGCACTATTAAACTAAAATATTCATTTTGTGTGTTTATATACTAATTTGTTTTTATT